TCAAGCACCTCGTAACCAAGAGACATATCCCGCCGAGAAGCCTACAAAGCCCTAGGCGACTTCCGGCATCCCCTCCATCCTCGAGACTCATGGTACAAATATAAGTGGATAGGGGTATATATGGTGTTTGAGATGCGAGTCATAATATGCGATAAATGAAATGCAGAACAGCAAAACATTCAACGTGCTTCTTGCCCCCATGACCTGCTCCAAGTCATCTCCAGCTGAAGCACTCCTGAATCTGTACAGTTTATCCCAACCTACGACTGCGATGGCCTGGACGATGGGGTTGCCCTCGCATAGATTGTGATCATGTCGTGTCGCAGCTCTGCAACCCGCAGCAAGACACCACTGATGTCCCAGCCTGATGACCCAGGGAGGCACACATGGTATTTAATGACATGCCAGGATGCGCGTTGCCAACGGTTGAAATATTGGGCAAGGACCGGTGTCGTTCCATGAGGGCCTCCTGCCGGGTATTGCGTGGATAGCGACACCAGTCCTATAGCATAGTGGGTGTTTCGTCCTCGTCCTCGTCCAGCTTTTTTCGCCTAGCGTCCCCTTACTGATGAGCAATAACCCTGCCACCCAAGGGAGGGCCCAACACTCAACCAATGACCACTCTTGCTCCCTCTTTGCCGAGTACTCCCCTTTCTTTGGGTTTGGGGCTGTTTCCTCGGCCTTTCTTCCGGCTAAGGAACCCAAATACGCCACCACTACTCTCTTGCTTGCCGCTCGGGTCGTTATTGGCGCCAGTGGCATCTGTAGGTAGCGTGGCGTCCTGGCGAGCCAGATCGGACCAACTCCCACCTCCATCCAAGGTCACCTGGACACCACCAGTTGGACTATTCACCATCATACCCATGCCACCCGGACGACCTGCCCGCGTGCCGGTCGCATTGTTAGTATAAGGTTGGGGGTATGGTGGTAATGGTGGAGGTCTGCCCGGTGGATGTCGGCGTTGATGACTGCTTGGTGGTCGCTGTAACCTATGTGAATTCGAAGTCGAGAAGCTTCCCACATTGTCTGGCTGAGGCATTGGCTGACCAGACATGTGTGAGGGTTGATATACAGGCTGAATGGCGTTGTTGACGGTCGCCTGAGAAGCAGGAGTCGCCTGGTCGGTTGTAAGTGCATTGCCAGGTTGTGCAATACTGCCGTCGCATTCCAGCGGTAATCCATCCTCCCCCACCTGCTCGGTTATCCTGCGCCCATGGTTAGAGCTGACGTGTCGTCTCGGCTAAACAGGGGAATCATCCAACTCACTTCTTATAGGCGGCCAATGTGTAGTCGAAAGGCTTGAAATCCGTCTCAATCATACGGTACAGCTCGTCTTCGCGAATCTCCTTGTCCGTAGCATCGTCCTTCAGCCGATCGCGCGGCTTTTGGCGCCGTGCTCGAGCTTCGAGCGGCGCCTCTTCAAGGAGCAGCTCTTCCAGATCATAAGTGGCGTCAAAATTGGTCTTGTCCGCAGAAGGCACAAACACGGGCTCGATCTCCTTCCTTTCGAGGGCCTCAAAGTCGATGACAGAGAAGAATTCGTTATGTATAAAACTCTCCCATGTGTGTCCCATCCGTCTATCTCTGTCAACACTCAGGGCGCTTTGTATGGCGTACAGGCATGTCAACGAGACAGGTGGCTGGGTAATCGGATACCGCGGGTTGGCTGCCTGGATGACGGTACTGAGGGATGACTCGGAGTTTCCTTCAAATGGTCTCTGCAAGTCAAACAGCATCAGCATAAGCACTGATCAAGAGACGTATCCGGGAACCAGCCTAAGCCCTCGGCGCAAACAAACCTTGTTATAGATACACTCATAAAACAGAACACCGAGCGACCACCAGTCAGCCCGAACGTCATAACCGTTTCCTGAATAAACTTCCGGGGCCAAGTACGCCAGGGTGCCGGACTTGCTTGATAAGACCTTGCCTGGTATAATGTCGGACGCAACGTTCTATTGCAGCTGTTAGTGAGGGCTTGTTTCTTCGAAGCTGAGGATTTGCACCGTACAAAGTCTGTCAGATGGACGTGTCCATCAGCATCCAAAAGCACATTGTCGGGCTTGATATCGCGGTGGATGATGTTCTGCCCGTGAATATAGCGTAGAGCGCAGCCTAACTCGGCTATCCAGAACCTCACCGCCTCTTCGGTAAATGTCTTTCGTGATATATGGAATCGCAGATCGCCGCCGCTCATTAGATCAACCACCAGATACCTGAAGAGAGATTTAATCAGCATGATGGACATCTTGGAGCAGCTTATCACATCTCGTACATGTACTCAATGTCTTGAAAACTGTAGCGCAAGTTGCAGATAAATGGATGGTTGACATGCTCGAGCATGCGCCTTTCTCGGATGATGTTACGGACGCTTTCGGAGCGGACGACTGGCCAGTTGGTTAGCTATCTAGTGTCAAAGGAGCAAGTGTGAGGTCACTCTGTGCTACCGGGCAAGGCTGGTAGCCCAACCTGGAGTCACAGCGCCTACCTTCATCTTTTCGTATGTATTTCAAGGCAAACGATAGGCCGGTGTCCTTGCGCTCGACAATGCGCACCTTTCCAAACGCTCCCCGTCCGACCACTCGCAGCAATCGGAAGTGATTCAGGCTTACTGTTCAGAGGAATCATCGTGTCAGCAGAACATGTGTCAAGGAGGAGCGACCAGACGCTGCGCGCTGTCCATACTGCAGTTTAGGCTTTGACATACCTTCGCCGTCCAAATCGACGGGCTTTCCCTGACTGTTACCCATTGGGCCTTCACGATGTCATGTACGAACACCAGATTGCAATATGTGATGATCCTCCAACAGCATCAAGCAAAGAATGGCAGCTCAGGATCCCGAAGCTTGGCACATTCTAAGCAGACAGCTATGTGTCTCCTTCGAGCGACCAATTGAGTGATTGATCTTGCTATGCAAGCAGTATGTCCCCGGTACGTGGACGTCTCAAGTACCGTATGCGAATCCAGCGAAGACGTCGCGAAAGGAAGGGCTTTGGAGGGGCGAATTCGGCTGCCTCTACTTTATCTCTATGTGTCTCGTGAAAAGCCAATCGGTGGGAGCGGGTACACGGGCTTATCGCTGTGGTTCGTTTCGGGTCGTCTTCGGGCTCTGCAGCAGTCGCAGCAGTGACGGAGGAGTAAGTATGCGAGAGTGGAAAGAAGCTTGACTTGCCACGTTCCGTAGTCCGGGGGTTCGGTTCGGGAGGCTCCTTCACAAGCGAGCGGAGCTGGTCGGTGAGCGGAGCCGCGACGTTAGAAATTTGGACCGTCGTGTTTCTTGCTTTCCCCGAGATAACAGGCCGCAGCTACAAATAAGAGTAAACGATGATACGCTTCTCGATAACAGGGAGTGATAGCAATACTGTACTTCTTCAAATAGCCAAAGTGATGAAGAATGGTAGCCGAAGATGCAATCAGAAGGCGAAGATAGTGGACAAGTCAATGTGGATGATACCTAGTCTAGTTCGACACACTAGATTGGGTGGACTCCTAAACGCTGCTAGCCAGGTCGAAAGTCAGGGCGGTCTGCGATGGCCCGTGAACCATCGCCGTAGCAGGAAAATACGCCCAATCTTGAGCCGGCTTCAGAACTCCTTTAAGAATAGGTACCTAACCAGAGGTAGGGAGGGTGGTCCGTGATGGTGATTCGCAATGCAAAATAGAGTTCCTGGTTCTGCATCTTTGAGACAGGGGGTGAGATCTTCAAAAGTTGGGGGTGATGGCAGTGCGTGCCTGCCGCTTGTGCTTCTATGTACTTTCCGGTTTTGGTGAATCTGGAGCCTGCTCAAATGCGAATGGATCTAAACTTGGGCAGGAAGATTAGGGGCATTCTCAGCTGCTCCCACTCGCTGGCTTTGGTGTTTCGGAAATATCCACAATCTCATTTGGCCATCCGGCTGTGTGACAGCTGGTTCAGGTACCTAGGTACACATTCGTGTACCAGTCTGTATACATTTAGACTTCCAGTTAATATCTTCAGCCAATGTCCCGCACGGCTGCCAACCTGGAAGCCAAAGCTCTGAGATGTGTCAAGAAAATGCATGACTTTACACTACTCCTTGACTGATTCCTCCTATGAGCCAGGATGCTGGGAGCACGACAATGGGACACGGCAGCCTTCAACACGGGTGATACCAACCTGGTTAACCTAGCTGCGGCAGACGCATGGGGTTGCAGCACTAGAGCACGGCATGACCACGTGTTGCCCGCATTGCCACTCGTACAGACCCTACAGTACTGCATACGCCAATCCCGTCACGGAATAGATACTTGTCGTACCTAGGTGAAGGCTTCATCTCATGGTCTGTGAGATGGCACTCGTGGCTCGACTTATGACCTAGATCTAGGCAGTGGAAAGCACCAAACTCGCGGCACTCACCTACTTCGCATAAATATGACCGCATCCAACCAGCATTCAACGTATTATAGACGTACACCTGTAGTTACTTACCATAGAGTACAATGAAGACATCTGTGTTCAAGATGCCGCACCATGCAAGGAGCCTGTTCTGATGCACCTCACCGCGTCTGTCATCGCTCTGCGTCACAGCGATCGCACTGACGGGCCGGGCTGTGTCCACCACTACAAAAGGCCCTGTCGCAACCAGCTCTACGTGCCTACCTTAAGAGATATCATCTACCTACATACGTGCTACAGTTCTTGGAGACCCCAGTGCTAGGGTGATGATAAGAAGGATCACTAGCCCGCCCCAAACCTACATTAGTCCGTCCCGACGATGTTGAAGCGCACATGTGATGATAGACTAGCGTCGCGCCTTCGCAGATTGGCGTCATAGAATAAGGCAGGGATTTTGATTGTTGGTCCAACCACCGCTTAGCTGCTTATTGATATCACAACGTCGAAGGCGCGTGTTGCTGTCGTGGCATTCCCCCGGGCTCGTCTGCTGTGATTAGGACTGAAGCGTTGTGATTGCAAGAAGTATTTTCCTAATCAAGGGCAAGGAAAATAACAAAAGGGTTCAAAACAAAAACAAATGTACTCCGGTACGGGGAATCGAACCCCGAGCCCCGCGGATTTCAGGTCAGATTAACCCATGAAAACGCGATATGTTAACCGTTACACTATACCGGACATTATGATAAATGAATGGTGAAGAAATCTCAAGGGCCAAAATCTACGTAACTTCAATTGTATTGGCCCTGTAGCGGCCGATAAAGGTCATACGGGACATTTGTGACAATACTGAGAAGCACCGAACAGCATAAGTCCCCATTGGAAATTTTCCTGCTTTGAAGATAGGAGTTCTTGCAGCTACCCAACATAGCTCAGACGCGGTAGTCGCAGTGACTGAGTGACGGAGCTGCGATTCCTTTTGCGCGGGTGGAGTTCCGGTGCACCAGCCAGTACAGTGACGTCACTGTTTCTTACTACATCACTATGATAGCTGCAGGAACATCACGAGCTTTAATCAAAACCGTCTCTTTCCTCTACAAACTATTTCAGCCTGTAAACCATTCAGAAATACCCTCAATCCAACATAGTCTACAAGGACAATCTGTCAAACAACCACGATGCGCTCCATCTCAATCCTTCGTCTAGCCAACTCGTTCCTCCGTCCGGCTTCCCGGACCTATGTGGCCCCTATCACCCATCGCACCCTAACGACTTCTCCTGCTCTGCGTGCCTACAAAGATGATCAAGATCGAGAGTCCCTCAAGCCCCGCGCCCCTTACGGAAACCAGGCCAGTGGCGACGATAATGCCGCTGAAAGCAAGGACGCCTTCGATAGGCATAACACGGATCCCGCAAAGTCGAAGGAGAAGAACCCGGAAGATCTAGATGTTAGCGGCGCAAATCAGGAGGTTAACAAGCCTCAGGGTGATAACCCGGCTGCCGAGAAGACGGCCACAAGAGCTGATCGGGACGGTTCACAGAGGAGTGGACACGGTGGTGGAAACAAGACTAAGGCTGGACGGCCCACATGAGGCCTGAAATTGGAAGAGGGGAGACAGAGTCGAGATTCTTTGAGGCGTGACGAGGGCTTACTATGAGGATCTCTGGACACGAAGCTGCATGGTGTAAAATGGACAGGATGGTACATTATTGGGCAGTGTTGGCATTCAGTATTGGCGTTCCGTGTATGCTGGTTCGAATCACATGAAAACCCTCGCATATGGAGGTGGAGTGTTGTTCCATTGAAATCGAAACGTTTTGTGGCGGACTGCAGCGAGACCGGCATCTCAACCAAGAGGGCGAAGCCAATAACCCACTGACAGAATGTCGAACTGCAGAGTATGTAGCCCGGTGCGTTGCAGCAATATCTCGGACGCACAACATGGCGACTAGGAGAACCCGCGTCCACCCGTGCCGAACCACTCCTCGGACAATGCTGTTTGGCCTCGCTCCAGGGCCCGTATTGGCTTGTCCTCTACCCAGATATATAGTTCTTCCTCCCATGCGTCCTTCGCTCCTGCCCGCCATCAAACATGTAACATGAGCACTTTACTCCCTTCCTGCCCGGTAGCTCGTACAAACAAGTCCAGAAACACGTCAGATCTCTGCATTCCACCAACAAACCATCGTCCTTGGACCAAATAGCTCGGTACAGCCACGACTCCTCTCGCCCTTGCCATGATGTTTTCCTCATCCACCCTTTTTCCGAGTCCTTCATCATCCAACATACTCGCTGCCTCCTGCTCGGTCCCCGCGAGCCCGGCCTGCATCGCACACTCGACCAGGAAATCCCGGTCCGAAATATCTCGGCTCTCCTCAAAGTGCCCCCTGAAGAGCAGATCTAGGAAACGGGATTGTATCTCCCAAGTCTCTGCCGCTATAACAAGCTTCTGGCTGTCATAACTCGACCCGGAGTTTCCTCCCCAGTCGAACTTGATGTTCAGTGGCTCGCCGGTTGTCTCGACTTTGGCGAGGAAAGCGTCTGCCCCCGGGCCGTATTTGGCGGAGAAGTAGGTGCGTTTGGGAATTCCTTGGTTTCAAACTAAGTTAGGATGCCAGCCGCAAGTAAAAGTACTGTGGGTTCGACGTATACCTGACGCTCTAGTCTTTGGATGAAGGAGGAAGGGGTGCCATGTTAACTCAAACTCGGTGTCAGGGTGTTTAGTGCTGTAAGCTGATATGGCGCTGTCGAGCTGACGCTTGCCGATGTAGCACCATGGACAGAGGGTGTCGGAATAAATATCAATACTAATCTTGGACATGGTAAAGGGGTTGGGACTGGGCCGCCAGGCTGGGTGTTTTGTGTCTAAGAGATGGCTGGCCTGTACAATCGTCATACATTGGAACAGCTAGCTATGTTGAGGTTCCCCCTCCTTTTGAACGCACGATCACACTTATGAATAAGATTCAAGCTCAAGGACAGAGGCTCTTTGACGTGATGTGACAGGCAGCTTTGCACACCCAGGTGCTCCGTGTGCATATGATTAGAAATCATAAAATAAAGGAATTCATACTCACACTGAGGACATGGAAAGTTGAGCAGCGGGGTACAATGCTCCGGTTAGTTATGATACATAGATGGCAACAGTTTGACTATCAATGTTCCAACCTGACTGGCTGACAGTCATATGGTAAGGTGAATTCATTGTGAGGTGTAAAGGTCTAAGAAACAGTCCCCAAGCGTAAGAGTCCAACAACGCCAGTCACAATAAGTGATTAATGATCATAAGCTTAACATCAGCCATCATCACTTGTCACTAAGATCACTTGACGTCCAGCAGTGCAGCATGCAAACACCATGTCGGCAGTTGGCTTACTATCCTCCAAGGAAGGAGATTAAGCGACGAACTCGTATACCTAATATATCGTTTCATTCATATCGGCCTGGACCTTAGAGACTCAGAGTCTGGCACCCCAAACACATAGCCGATGCTTTCTACATTACAGACACAGAAGATGAAAAAGTAGGAGCGGAAATAAGGACATCCCTCATAATTGCCAGCCATGAAAGAAAGCCGCTGCGAGAGAAACAGAAAAGAGCAAAAAAGCAGAGTCAAGAGGCCTGTCCATCCTATTCGCGCTAAAAATACAAGCTCACCACGCTAGAAGTCCTCTTTTCTAAGAATTATTATAGCACTCGTAGTGCAGATTTTCCTTGATCCGGTGATGCCAAGAAACAAGAAAGCAGAAGGCTGGTATATCGGCGGGCGAGAGTTTCTTTCCTTTCCGAGTGATTGATTCATCTCCTCCATCTGCCCGCCAACTCTGCCCGCCATACGAAGTGAACCACATGAGTCGCTTCGGTCGCGACACATGAAGTATGAACTGGTGGCACCACCATGGTGTGGTGGGTTTTGTCAAAATAAGCACCATTGTCGAGTCAAGCAGAAAGAGCGTCCTACTCCTGTTCCGCTGCCCACAACTGGGCCTGGCTCGGCGGCTTTGGGTTGTAAGAGGGTGCTGCGTTACTCTTGAGATTGGCTTGCTGGGCCGTGGCAGCACTGGCATAGAACATGGTTCCAAGAGGGCCGCCAGCATAGCCAGCCTCGGGATCAGGATAGGTATACCCGTTGCCCGACGCGCTGTGTGTGGGAGATGGTGCATGGGACGGCGACTGCCATCCAACACTGGCCATATGCGGGCTGCCCCCTGTGCTGCCTGGCCCTTGCTGAGTCTCCACATTCGGCTCCAGGGTCTGCAGCTGGCTGAACCCCGATGGGTGCGAGGTGGGACGGTTGTTCCCAGTGTAGGATGTCGAGGTGGTAGGAGAGGGACTGCCACCGTGGATGTCGCCACGGAGGTGAGGAGGGAGACTGTTGCTGTTGATAGCATATGCCATGTTGTTCATGTTGGTCATATCAGCAGTTGGCGACATGGATTCGGGGCGCTGACTGGGGGACTCGGCAGTCATAGGCGAGCCCTGGGCCGAATCTTGCTCCGACTGAGACTGGCCGCGAGCACCAACGGCGGCAACAGCTGCGGCAGCGCCTCTAGCCAAGGCCTCCCGTTGCGCTATGGCGGCTTCCTCAACGGTTCCCGCGTGGTGGTTCATATGTCGTGTGAGGGTTGTTCGACGTGTGAAGGTCTTCTGACAGTTGGCATATTCACACTTGTACGGACGCTTGCCCGAATGAATGCGTCGATGACGTGCCAGAGAGCTGCTGTCGCTGAAGGGCTAAAGTGGTTGTGTTAGTCAAGGCATAGTTTAGGACAGGGATTGCCATATAAGTATCTTCCTTACCTTGCCGCACCGCTCGCATTGATGAGGTTTCTCGCCAGTGTGGACACGCTGATGGACTGTCAGAGCGGATCGCTGGATGAACTGTTTGCCACAGCCGGCCCAGTCACAGACATGGGGGCGGTGACCACTGTGGATGCGCTCGTGACGGGCCAAGTCGCTGCGGCGTGCAAACGGCTTTCCGCAAGTGCCGCAAGGGTACTGCTTCGCGGGCGCTTGTGTGGCGGTATCTGTGGGACGATAGACAACACCATGAGGCAGTTGTCCGGGCGGCATGCCGTTAGGGGCGATGGTTGCCTGGCCCATGTTTTGAGGCATCATGGTCTGCTGACCGAGGTTCTGTTGCGCCACAACATGCTGGGTCATGTTCGGTTGCACCATATGTTGCTGCTGCTGCTGGCCGAGGTTCTGCTGGGACATAGCTTGCTGAGCCAGGTTCGCATGGCCAAGGGCCTGCTGCATCATAGCCTGCTGCTGAACCATGTTTTGCTGGCTCATGTTCTGTTGACTGAGTTGCGCCAAGTTCTGCTGGCCCATGTTTTGCTGGCCCATGTTCTGCTGGCCCATGTTCTGCTGGCCCATGTTCTGCTGGCTCAGATGTTGCTGGCCCATGTTTTGCTGGCCAATGTTTGGACTAGGAATAGATGCCTGGCCCATGTTGGGCGGGGACATCTGACCAGGAGCCATGACTGGAGTTGGAGCCATAGAGGCGTTCATGGCAGTAGGTGAAGGATAAGAGGTGTTCATGGGTCCAGAGTATCTGGACTGCTCCGAGCCGTGTGGTGACGGAGCACTGCCTTGGTTGGTCTGTTGTGCCATGTGCTGGGCTACCGTAGCCACATGGTCATGTACACCGGCCTGGACGACCTGGCCGCTGGCTTCCTGCTTAATGAGAACCGGGCTGCCTTGCATGTTGTTTTGCTGCATGTTCTGCTGCACG